CCTGTGCTCTATACTAAGCCTTTGTTGTTTTTCTGTTTTATATACAGTAATGTGTATCCATTAATTCCAAACTCCTAGTTTATCCTCCCCCAAAGTTTCTCCTTTGGTAACCATAGTTTGTTTTCTAAGTCTGTGAGACTGTTTTCTAAGTAAGTTCATTTGTATCATTTTTTATTTCCACATATAAGTGACATCATATGATATTTGTCTTTGCCTGATTTCCTTCACTTAGTGTGATAATCTCTAGGTCCATGCATGTTGCACCAGCAAACCATTCTTGATTCCATAGGAAGAGTTTTAACACTCTGTATTCTCTATGAAACAGAGACCAAATACTGGATTTTTTTTGGTGAATTTGCTACACTGTCCTTTCAAAGGCAGCTTCAGTAGGGAACAAAATATACAATGGGACCTCTTTCAAAAGTGAGTGTCTATATTCTAAAGTAAGTTTTTAGTAGAGGCAGCCAGCCAGAGGGGATTTGAGAATTACATGAGAGATTTGAAAGGGCTATGACAAGGCCAACAGAAAGTGCAATAAATGCAGAAGTGAAGGTGAGACTTTGTAATTGTCTCCAGCAATGGAGAGCAAATGCTTTTTATTAAGTTAATGAGATTTGCTACTGTTAGTATATTTTTATTGACTGCAATATATATAAAGTGTTTTTAATGGCGTACATTGACATTGTCCAAGTGAAAGTCACTTAGTTGTGTCCGACTGTTTGTGACCCCATGGACTGTATAGTCCATGGAATTCTTGAGGCCAGAATACTGGAGTGGGTAGCTGTTTCCTTCCCCAGGGAATTTTTCGCAACCCAGGAATCAAACCCAGTTCTCTCACATTGCAGGCAGATTATTTACAAGCTGAGCGATCAGGGAAGTCCAAGAATACTGAAGTGGGTAGCCTATCCCTTCTCCAGCAGATCCTCCCGACCCACGAATCAAGCCAGGGTCTCCTGCACTGCAGGTGGATTCTTCAACTGAGCTATCAGGGAAGCCCGATATTGTCAAAATAATGCCCATATTTCTCTTGTGGCTTTCCAGGTAATCCAATTTCAGAAGCATTTTTTTCATTCAGATACAAGTTGTGCCAGGCTTTGGCTTCAGTGTTTGATATACTTATATTAAGAATGTTTTTCTGTCCTTTTGGTGTTATAACCCAGTTAGAGGAATCAGCCCTAACTAACCGCCACCAAGCAACATCCCTCTCTCCACTCTCCCCCTCAAAAAAAAAAAAAAAAAGTTTAAGAGAGTGAGTTTGTGTTCTCAGATTTCACATTAAACTAACCCAAGGAGCAGTACATTCAACTCAAATATACAACTCAAAATAACCAGAGTCTCAGACGATAGAACTCAGCTCTTTATATGGTTTTAAAGCTCTGTGGGTGATTATAATGCACAGAGAAGACAAATTCTCATTCAACAAAGCTGAGAACACAAGCGCTACTCTTGTGGAGTAGGGTGGGGAAAGTCAGCTCTTTAAAATAAGCGAGTCTTAGATTGATTCTTGAAGTGTTGGAGCTCTTTCCCAGGTAGATTGAGGAGTCAGAATCCTAAGTCTGCTTCCACTGAAAAAAGAAAAGTGAAATGAAAGTGTTAGTCACTCAGTTCTGTTCGACTCTGCAAGGCTGTAGACTGTAGCCTGCCAGGCTCCTCTGTATATGGGATTCTCCAGGCAAGAATGCTAATGTGCTTAGCCATTTCCTTCTCCAGGAGATCTTCATGACTCGGGGATTGAACTCGGGTCTCTTACATTGCAGGCCATATACTTACTGTCTGAACCACTAAGGAAGTTGATTAAAGAGTCAGGATCCTGAGCCTGCTCCCTGTGGAGCATCATATTTGAGCCATCACATGATGGATGCAGGGACAGGTTTGGGGTATGGGACTGGACAGCTTTTCTAGAAAGTTTGAACACCATGTGCAGAGTCTAATGTGAAAGAGGAAATGTCTGTTAGAAGATGCAAAAGATGTCCATGTTTCTGAAGCACAGAGAGCAAAAGGAACCTGGTGGAAAGATAATACCATACAGAGAAACAGAGGGCTGAACACACAGGGCCCTGACAGGCACATGAAGCACACAGCTTGCTCCTCAGAGCAGGCATTGAATGCCAGGATTGGATTTTCATTTTCATAAGGTTATGTTGACTGCTGCATGAATCATAAGAGACTGAAAGTAGAGAAAGTAAAAGCTGTTAAGAAATAATTACAATACTCCACGGAATAAAAAGCGACAGCTTGCACTAGGGGGAGCCAGTAGAGATGGAGAAAATTGGCTGAATTCGAAAGTTATTAAAGAATTAAATTTGAGGACCCATCAAACATCAAGGTGAGTTAGTAGAACTGAAATCATCAACTGTTGCAAATTCAATAGCTTTCTTCTTGTCATCATGAAACCATACTGAAAATAGAGTATTTTAAAAGTATTATAGTTAAGTTATAGCATGTATGTGTATCTTACACACAACTATCTGTTGGAATTTGTATTAGAAATGTAAGCCTGGCAAGAAAAATGTCAAGTGGAAAAATAAAAGTGTATCATAAGTACTCTTTTCATAATAAAATTATTGAAAGCATTTTTAAAAGTCAAGGGTTAGTGCAGGCAGATAAGAAGAATTAGGATCTTCTAGCTGAGGGGGCTGTGGCCAGCTCATCATATCCTGCAGGAATCACAGCTAAGACTGGGCTTGACTTATTAAAGTAAAAACTAGAACCCAAGGCCTGCCTAATTTTTACTAAACATAATGTGGCATTCTTCACATAGTTTATCTTATTTAATCCTTCTATTATCCCTTTGTGAATAGGATGACTTCACAGATGAAGAAAACATACTTAAGAAGATTTTATAGCTTATGTAAGGCCATATCATGCATAGTTATGTTTCATGCTACTGAGCTTGATTCAGATCTATCCAATAATAACACTCATATCTCAAGTGGTAGGTTTTCTTTTTTGCTTGAATACTGTGGAACAAGATTTACCTGCTGCATAAATCAAAGATAAAGATGTGTCATAAATTGGAGATGGGACAACACCAGGCAATAAAGGGAAAGGACAAGTGGGATGTTCACACTGGTGACAAGGCGAATTGAGGAAGAGAGGTTTTCTGGGAAACACAAACAGAATTTTTAGAGAACAGGAAAGAAAATGTTCTGAAACATCTTTGAAGGAAATGAGTAACTGGGGAGTAAATTCAATCATAGGAAGAGGAGAGAATCAGTTCAAGTTGGGACTTAAATGGCAATAAGTGTTCAGTTCAGACCCAGATGGATTCTTTTAGTTCAGACCAATGCCTTTTAGGGGGTGGTTATCAGTTTCTCATGCAAAGATCCAGTCTGAAAGTTTTGTTGCATTGGGGTGAAAGGTGTCAGGGTGTTTTTGGTCAGATCTGAAGGAAAGGTGAGGTTTTCCCCTAACCTCTAAAATAAAGCAGAGGTTTCTAGGGGAAAGCAAAAGCAAAAACAAAAACAAAACTTTAATTCCTGAGGCAGTAACTTATTTGCTATATTAACTAGAAGTGATGATTAGCGTGGAGGAAAAGGAGGAGAGAGGTGTTCAGTCCCTAATCTACCAGCTGTGAGTGGAAATAAATCATACAGATAAATTCAGAGTGGGCTGAAGCACTGTAGCCAGACGCTCTGAAGCAGCCATAGCAAAAAGTATGAGGGCAGTGGGAGGGTATATCCTTTCATAGATGTCAAAGTTCTAAAGTTAAGAGAAATCATAAATGTAGTTGCTCAGACATGTCCAACTCTTTGTGACCCCATGGACTGTAGCCCACTAGGCTTCTCTGTTCATGGGATTCTCCAGACAAGAATACTGGAGTGGATTGCCATGCCCTCCTTCAAGGGATCTTCCTGACCCAGGAATCGAACCTGGGTGTCCTGCATTGCAGGCAGATTCTTTACCATCTAAGCCGCTAGGGAAGATTTGAAGACTGTCAGGATGAAGTAAATTGGCTTAGTAGAAGTTCACACATCTAAGGAAAACAGACTGCTCCTCTGCTCTGAAACCTCTGTTGGATACCTGGAGCCTGTACCTAAAGCTGACACTTCTCTTTCTGCTCTTGCATATTGGTCTAACTGTTATTTCTAATTTCATGGTCACTCCTTTAAAAAAAAAAAATTATTTATTTATTTGGCTTCATCAGGTCTTATGGCACATGGGCTTTTTCATTGTGGTGTGCAGGCACAGTGGCTTCCAAGTGCGGACTCCGGAGTATGCAGGCTTAGTAGTTGTGGCACACGGGCAGAGTTGCTCCATAGTATGTAGGATCTTAGTTCCTTGACTAGGGATCGAACCAGTGTCCCCTGCATTGCAAGCCGATTCTTAACCACTGGACCACCAGGGAAGTCCCCTCATCATCACTCTTACCTGTCGTTTTCTTAGTGAACAGAGACAAACTGTTTGGATAACTATCATGGCGTAGTGATTAGAAGGGCTGACTCTGGGACTGGAATACTGGAGGATGAGAAGTAAAACAGTCACTGGGACACTTGATGGTCTGTGAGGAAGTGCAGGCTTGAAGGGACAGAGTGCATGTGGGCCTTGGGGCCAAGTTCAACCCAGGAGGAGTGAGGCATGAGAACAGGGAGATTTAGGGTGATTAGCTAGGTTTCCAGGTCTAGTGAAAAGCTTGGTGAATTAAGTTAAGCAGGTTATATTTTTGCCCTCATTAGGCAGTTGAACAGTGTTGGAAGCAGGCAGGGAATGACATAGTCAGATGGAGTTGTTTGAGAGAGAATTCTGGCCTTATTTCTACTATTATCCTTTTATGTATGAATTATGCTTCTGCTAATACTGATGTGGGAGTTTGGAGAGCATTCTGTCCATTCTATCAATGTTCTTTCATTAGTTCATTGGGAATGAATATATGATATGAGAGTGTTGCATAAAGGAATCAGATACTCCAATATGTTTGTATATGTGTTGTATAAAGTACATGAACTCTTATGTGAAAAACCAGAATTTGCATTACCTCATTTTTAATTTATTCTTTAAAGGTTTGACAGCAGCAGCTGCAGCAGCTGCCGCTGCTACCAATGCAGCTATCGCCGAAGCAATGAAGGTGAAAAAAATCAAATTAGAAGCTATGAGCAACTATCACGCCAGTAATAACCAACATGGAGCAGATTCTGAAAATGGGGACATGAATTCAAGTGTTGGTAAGTTTTCTGTTCAGTGAAACTTACTGTATTCATTTTGTTACTAAGTGACTTTCTTTTACAGAACCCAGCTATTGGCTACCCATTCAAGAAGTTGTTCCTTTTAGCTTTGAAGATAGTGTACCTTTTGAAGAAACCAATTAGCCTAACAACATGTATTCTAAATAAATAATTGAAACTATTTTTAAATGTCAGAATTAACTTAAGTCTGCAACTCCTACTATAAGATTTTAGTTAACATATTTCATAATACAAATAAGTTTTATTAGTTAGAATTTTGAAATAATTGATTATACACAAGGTGACAGAAGAACATTTACAAACAAAACCACACACTACTAACTTTTAATTCATTGGTTACCAAAGAAGAAATGTGCCTTAGCAGCAAAACATAAACTTCACCTTCTCATGTGCTGGCTGCCAAGAATAAAAATTATGCTGATAATTAATTCTTTCTGTATACAACGATTGTCAATTTCTCTTATTTAAACTATGCCACTTCAACTTCTTAATTTGACCTTTTTTGTTCTTGAGGCGTGGAGAAAAGTAAGATTAATAGTCACTGTTTAAAATAAAAGGAACAACTTTATCTTTGCAGAATTCTTTTGGGTAACTTCATTTAGTCAGTCAACTTCAAGTGAAGGCTACACTTTTATTGATGATATCTTTTGTATCTCTGTTTTTGAGATACAACATTTTATCCTCACCTAATTATTTTTCTTTAAAATATAGAAATCATGCTCAAAATATAATGTAACAGGAGAAATTTAGATGCTACAAGATGTATACAAGAGACTATATCCAGCATATATGTTCATGAGGGAGGCAGTAAGTTATGGCAGTTCAATTAGATTTTCTTTTCTATGCTGCATTTTAACAGATTATCTCTTTAAATAATCAGTATCTGCATACTTTCAGTTCCTTGACGTATGGGTATAGGTGTAGGAAGGAATGCTGTGGACTTCATTGATAATCATTTTCACAACAGTTCATGAGATCATGTGCTAGATATGAGTAACATAGTAAGAAGTAATTTTAAAACACATACACAAAATGCCATGACTTTAGTGATGCCAAAGTGGAATGTAAAAAAAGCGGAAAAAGAGCTTTTTCATCAGAACTAGGCAAGAGAAAGAAAAGGAACAGTGTTAATGGCTTTGCTTTGAGAGCATGATGAAGAAGGTGGTAGCAGTTCTTAGAAGGATGGAAAGATGTGGAAGAAAGCCAAAGAATGGCACAAAAATTGAAAAGAACTAAAGGAAACATCAGTGTTCACATTTGCGGTGCTTCTGTTAGGAAGAAAGAGGGCAGTGAATTGTTTAGGTTATAGTTTACACGCTTCAATTTAAACTTTTAAAAGTTAAAAACTATTGAAGTAAAATGAAAGAATTGTAATTCTCTTTTTAAAACTATTGACTGCACACAGTTTTAACATAATGGTCTTTTACTTTGACCGATAAAATAGAGCAAAAGTGGACACTTAAAAACAAGTGATGAGCCATTATAAACCATACTTATAATTCCAAAACATAATTTGAATTGTTTTCAAAATTTTAGGAGAGTTAAGACTTCAGTGCAGTTTATTGTTGGTAGTTGGTGTTGTGAGGAGGGATCTTGAAGTTAGCCAGTGTAATAACACTTGAACAAAATATATTGAAACTTTATACCTCTGTCAGATTTCCTGAGTAGCAGAGCAGAAACTGGCTTTGGAGAAACCAATAGGCATAAGATAAAGGGAACATAATTAGGCATTGACATACTCTTAACATTTGATATCATGAAATGACATTTGCTTTCTGATCACCTTGTGCCTACCATAATTATTTGGATACCTCGACTATCATAATGGCTTAAACAAGAAACAGTTTAAATTTGTGTTTTAGTTGGAAGAAATCACTTTTCTTCCATTAAGGTATTTGCTTGCTAGTTTATATTGCTTTTTAGTTTTGACACGCATCATCCAGTTTGAACCAAAAATGGGTATTTATTTGAATTTTCCTAGAGGGTTTTAATATTTTGAGACTGTGTTAACATTAGTGCTACCATAGGTCCCTAACACACATACATCATGTGTGTTATATATCTATAGCTGTTTGGGGGCAAAATGCTATCATTGTCATTTTTCTTCTATTTTCGCATACCACTATCCTTTAAGAATTTTTGATTTATTATCCTTCATACCCCTTGCGCCCTTCTTCTTTACTTGGAGATCAGGGAAACAGAGTTTGGAGCAGGGAGGGGGTAAAGCAGGAGAAGGTACAGGGCAATGGTGGGGAGTAGTTGAGTTTGCATACATCATAGTAGTTGCTTTAAAACGGGTAGCAGTTTTCTCTGCTTCTGAGGACAGTGCCTGCCTCTTGGTAAGTGTCTAATAACTACTACTTATTAAACACTTCTTAACTGCTATGTGACTTTGGAAAGTTATGTGAACTTTCTGAGCCTTGCATTCCACATCTGAAAAATGGCATACAAAATAGTAACTACATCATAAGAATTAAAGGAAAGCATATTTGTCAAGTGTTTATCATTTTATTCATTACAATGTCTGTTTATCACACTTTTGATCATGTGTAAGGTTGCTTGTGTGGGTATTGCTTTTGCTATTGTTATTCTTTCTTCCAGCTTGCCCTCCTGAAAACCACCTTCCTCTTTTTACAGCCATCAACTGTTTCCTCCTGTTTTCCTCTGCTCTCTGCTAGGTATTATTTGTTAAGCTTCATGCCTGTGAAGAAATTTGGGGGCATCTGTGACATCATTTGGATTTTGTTGTGTGTTTGATTTTAGCTTATTCTAGGAACTCAAAAATAATCTTAGTAGTCTCAACACTCAGGGGACATGCAGTCTAATGAATGGGTGACGTGGTTAAGTAAGACAGTCATAACAGGATATGGTGGATCCCCAGGAACATCAGTTAGCAGGAGGCACTTAGGAAGTGGTATTGAAGCCTATGAATTCCAGGAGGAATCCCAAGAATCTCAGAAGCTTTATATTTCAGGATACAAATGTACTTGTTCTCATGAATCTATCAGCCCTTTGAAGTAGGAAAACCCCTCAGAGAGGTGCTACTTAAATGATGTATTGTTACTCTCAGCCCTGCCCAAATCTAGTGGCATTTCTGAAGTCAGTTCAGGTTCTTTTTTTCCCTTGTACTGATCTGGCTCACAAGTTCTGTTAAATGTTTCAGGGCTCTGTATGTAGAAACTCTCTATTTTTCCCCCTCTTGGTTGTAAATAAAATCCTTGATGCCCTAGAAAATAGATTTTTTTTTTCTTTTGCTTGGTTTGGTTTTATTTGGCTTGGTGAGGTGAGGGATGTTTTTATTGTAGATGAGTGTCTCTAGTTCTTAATATGAATTGCAAAAATTAGCCAGAAAAAAAAAAAAAAGGTGTTCGAAGAAACCTGTGACACTGACAAATAATTATTTTACATCCCAACTTTACTTGGTAACCTTGAGCTCACATCTTTCCAACAGAATGATCACTTTAGGAAGAAGTGAGGACTTTAGGATAGACCCCAGTAAGGCATCAGTAGGCTGAGTAAAATATATGGCCGTGTCGCCATTCTCCCTCATCCACAATCAATTGGATTCTTTTAGTTTAATATTTACTTGCTAAGATGAGATGCTAGTCTGCATGGTGATAAACAGTCTGCTCCTGGCATCTGAAGGTGACCTGTCAGTTCATATGGACAAATCTCCTGCTTACTGAAATGTACAAAATAAATCATTAAACAGGCAGGTGCTCATTCCCAGATTTAAATCACCATAGATTTATGATTTGAATTAATGCTTCATTTGGCCATAGAAATAGATGCTGAGACAAATGATATGCACTGGTTGGGGTTTCCATACTGTAGCCATCCTGATATTGATTACTGAGATGTCTTTGCAATCTCTTGTTTATATCAAGTACTATCTTGTGACAGGTTGGCTGATATAAGCTACATTGCAGATAAGAAGGAAAAATGTCTTGGATTCTTTTTAGTGGCAACACTATCCACAACATACAGACCAGATAAATTGCTATTTTTTTGCTTTAAGGACTGATCTACATAACCATCTTAAAAAATGCTGCTTGGAAATTGGGACTGGGATATTGGAAAGGCAGAATTTAAAACCGTGAACCGAAGGTCAATTTCATAGTCTCTGTGGCTGTGTTTTATCTACTTATCTTTTTTTTTGGCATCATGCACATTTTTGAGGATACTAAATTAATCACAATCAATTTAATCTAAATAAAGGAAACTTAATTTAACTTCTAGTTTTTAAATGCTATATAAATATTGACATAGTAAGCATCTCTTAATAGTTTCTCTGTTATTTACATACTTGCTAAACCTAATATCTTACTCCCTTAACTAATGACAACAAAGGAAACGACTCTTTTAAATATAAATACATTAAATATTATTTCCAAGTACAAGCGTTTGTGGACTATAATTTAGCAAGAGACAGGAAAAGACTGCATTTTTACTTCTCTTAACATTTTATTTAAGGAAAACACTATGTACACAGTTTAAAGAATACAGGAGGATTTAAGAGGGACCTTTGCCACCAGCTAATATCTGACTCATAGAACTGGTAAACAGCTATCAACAATAGTAGATTGCTTGCTTCGTAGGAAATGAGTTCATATCTATTCAAAATGTGATCTCAAAACAGATGTCCCAAGAAAATCTTATTGTTTAAACTATAGTCATAACCCCAAACTGCTGTTATTTCTTTGAGGAAGTGAAGTAATCTTAAGACTTCAGAGTTTGTCCTCTGAACACCATGGAAAGTAGACAAGAATACCCTAATGCAGTGATCCACAAACTGAACACATTTCATATGCCTGAAATGTAGGATTTGTTCGCATTTTCCAAATTTGCAATAGTTAAAAGGATATAGGAGTTTCAAGTAAAAACAAGAATTTGAGTTTGGGATTAAACAGCTGTGTTCTTCAACGGTATTCCTTACTTCTTACCTCTGTCCACCAACCGACAAACAAAACAATGATGAA